AGTGTATAGTCAACTTTAATTTTTCTCTAATTTCTAGCTTTTAATTGGCTTAGAAATCAGATAACTGCTGGACAGTAACCAATAATAATGATTTGTTTATATACTACAAACACTTTTTTATCGCATAATAAGGCAGAATAGTTTCAATACTGTTACTGTAATAAATGCTTTGTCAGTTAGCACTGTATTGTTCATATACTTTATTTATTACCTGGAGATGACTTGACAAACACAAATAAACCATATATTGTCGCAATCGTATGTTTAATGTCTTCATGTTTCCAAACGTTTTTGTTTTTCTGTGAAAATAACTGTTTTTATACAGCGATAGCTGGACCCTTTTGTCCGTATTAGGGATTTCCTGGTACGACTTTCTGCGCAAGAGCGCCCTCCGGCTTCGAGTATGAATGAAACATACACTGCACGGAGTGTTTAGAGCTCGGTGATGTTCATCTCGCCTTATTCTGGGTCCGAATAAAACATCAGATCATGCACAGACTATCCTGTCTCTTTGAATTTAAATCTATATTTATTCACACCGGCTCTTGAAAACCTCTATGCGAACACACTTGACCGAAAAAGTGCGGGGGACGAATTTACATGATATTAAAAGTGGGGGGGACACATCCCCCACGTAACATACGCCCCTGTATGGCGCACATATGGCAAATGAGAGTTCAGGCTATATGTGACTGAAAGTTAACCTTGCTTTCTGGAAAACACCCCTGAAGAAGGTTAAGAACTCACCATTATGGTAATAAGGGTTTCCTTTAGTTGAGCACTTGACCCTTTTGTTAACATGCACAGTAACTAGTTATATTAAACAACATTTTAATTAAACATGCAACAACTGTTCAGTCAAAAACGTGTCAATGAATTTTACTATTGACTATTGTGTATGCAGGTTATATTTTAAGTTTTTATAAGCTGGATCATGGATTCTGTAAAAAGTTTGACTAGTTTATACACTTTATATCTTTATGACATGTAAAACATCCAGATTTCCACATCAGTTCCAGTATTTGGATGCTTAACTTAAATGTATGAAGCTTTGATAATCATGGTTATTATTGTTATTTAACTTAAGCCACGATTACTGACTTTATTTAAATGTGTTTTCATTCCCCGGGATGACAGAATTGACATTGTGCGAGGACGTAAAAGAACCTGTTAATTGAAACAAACTGTCCAAAAGAACCAGTTTTCAGAAAAGAACCAGACTCCCATCACTATGAGGCGTTAAAAAAAATTGTTTTAATATTAAAATCACTGTTATGCATAAGCACTATGATAAGTTAAACAGATCATCTCTCAAAGATGCAACAACATACAGCATCTTTGTCATTGAGACACTTAGACATCAGCACTCATTATACAAACCTCAACAATGGTGACAATCAACAAAACATCCAGTCAAAATGTGTTTTTCAAGGCTATTTCCTCAATTTATTTTTTTATTGCAGACGATTTGAGGTTGCAAAAATTCTTGGAAATTCACAAAACCAACATTAAGGAGAAAGTTGAACTGATTTTTGAGGTCAAGGAAGAAAATGAAGCACATCTCAAGGATGTTTACATAGAACTCTTCATCACAGAGGGAGAAATTGAAGATGTCAATCAGGAACATGAGATTCTGAAGATTGATGATGCTTTCAAGAACAAAAAAACACAGAACAAACCAATAAAATGCAATGCTATATTTACTGAACTGAGGAAAAATAATGAGAAAAAGATTGTGCTGACCAAGGGCATCGCTGGCATTGGGAAAACTGTCTCTGTGCACAAGTTCATCCTGGACTGGGCAGAAGGAAAAGCCAATGAGGATATACACTGTGTGTTCCTGCTTCCATTCCGAGAGATCAACGTGCTTAAAGACAAAGAGGTCAATCTCCATGAGTTTCTACAGGTATTTTATCCTGAACTAAAAGAATTGGAAAAATTAAACGTGTTTGAGAAATATAAAGTGGCATTTATATTTGATGGACTTGATGAGAGTCGCCTGCCTTTGGATTTTGTAAGCGGAATTCTGTCGTCTGTTGAGGAAAGATCATCTGTAGATGTGCTGTTCACAAGTCTGGTCAAAGGGAAGCTGCTTCCATCAGCTCTCGTCTGGGTGACCTCGCGACCAGCAGCAGCCAATGAGATCCCGCCTCAGTATGTGGGTTTGTTCACAGAGGTGCGAGGATTCACTGACCAGCAGAAGGAGGAGTACTTCAGAAAGAGAATCACAGATGAGACTCAAGCCTCCAGAATCATCTCACACATTAAGACGAATCGTAGTCTCTACATCATGTGCCACATTCCTGTGTTCTGCTGGATCACGGCCACTGTTCTTCGGAAATTTCTCAAGAACAGTGCAGAGAACATCAGCACAACACTCACTGAAATGTACATCCACTTCCTGCTGATACAGATGGACATGAAGAACCAGAAGTACGATGGAAAAGCAGAAAGACAGCGTACAAAGCTGTTACATTCAAACAGAGAGATGATTTTGATGTTAGCCAAGCTAGCATTTGAACAGCTGAAGAAAGAAAACATTGTGTTTAATGAGGAAGATCTGGAAGAATGTGGTATTGATGCGAGTGAAGACACTCAGTTCACAGGAATGATCGCTGAGTTCTTTAAGAAGGAGGATGGAATACATGAGACGAAGGTCTTCTACTTTGTGCATCTGAGTGTTCAAGAGTTCCTTGCTGCAGTGCATGTCTATTTCTGCTACCTGAACAAGAACATGCAGGAGCTTCAGTTTTTCTTTGAGACGCCAAAAAAAAACATCACATTGCAGGAGCTTCTGCATAAGGCTGTTAATAAAGCAATGCAGAGTAAGAGAGGACATCTGGACCTGTTCCTGCGGTTTCTGATGGGTATTACGCTGGAATACAGTCAGAGCCTGCTCAAAGGCCTGCTCACACACACTGAAGACACCACAGAGAGCATCAGAAAAATATGTGCACACATTAAACAATTACTAAAAGAGGATATCTCAGATGAAGCTTCAGTGAACCTATATTACTGCTTGCTTGAGCTCAAAGATCATTCATTACTTGAGGAAGTCCAGAAGTACCTAAGTTCAGATCCACATTCAGAAAGAAAACTCTCATCTTCAATGTGCACAGTGCTGATCTACATACTGCTGATGTCCGAGAAGGTGCTGGACGAGTTCAACCCAAAGAGGTTCACGTCATCAGATTGGAACTACACAAGACTCGTTCCAGCTGTGAGATGCTGCAGAACAGCCCTGTGAGTGATTTCATTCACTGCTGTTTAGTAAAATTTTGTTCTACATCACTAAGCAACTGAATGTCAAAATACAGGGTTAAATATCAAGCTGTCCAGATTTTGAAAGGTACAATGTGTTATTGCAGAAACACTGAACATCAAAAACTAAACTTGGCTAAACATTCTATTTTGGCAGATTTGACGACTGTGTTCTTGATGAAACAAGTTGTGACACTGTGTCTTCAGCTCTCCAAGCATCAAACTGCCATTTGAGAGAGCTGGACCTGAGTAGAAATCACCTGAAGGATTCAGGAGTGAAGCTGCTCTCTGATGGACTGAAGATAAACTGTAAACTGGAGATACTGAGGTAAACGTTTTTTTTTGTTTTTTTTATAAAATAATTATGGACTGAAGAGTTCACACTGTCAGCTGAACATACTGTGGTTTGACATTGACATTCATCAGCATATATTTCCCCCTGTGTATATTGTTGTATGAATGTATCATCAACGTTTTATCCAAGGACACAAGACAGACCATGCTTACTCAGAAAATCTAATGAGAAACAATTAGGGTTCCTGGAAAATCTGGAATTTTGTAATGCAGTTTTCAAATTTTGAGAATAATATAATATTTAAATTTCAGAATCAGAATGAGCTTTTTTTCACCGAGTGTGTGCAAACACACAAGGAGTTTGTTGTGGTTCCCAGGAGCTCTGGGTACCTACATACATACATACATATATAACAATTATCCTCTCAGTTGTCCTAACAGTCTGTTGCAGACTTCTTATATCTGATTTGGTGGCTGACCCAAACCAGACAGTTATAGAAGTGCACAAAACAGACTCATTAACAGCTGAGTAAAACTGAGTCATCTGCGCCTGTGGTAGATCAAACTTCTTCAGCTGACAAAGGAAGCGCAACCGCTGCTTTTTTCTCAATTTAGTCAATGCGAGTGTTTCACTTCCGGTCCTGAGAGATGGTAGATGCCAGGAAGCTGAATGACTCCACTGCTGCCACAGTGCTGTTGAGATTGGTGAGGGGAGATAGTGCTAAGGGGTTTCTGTTGAAGTCCACTATCATCTTCACAGTTTTGAGCGTGTTAAGCTCCAGGTTGTATTGATTGCTCCAGAGAGTCAGCTGTTCATCCTCTTCTCTGCAAGCATATTCATTGCTGTCATGGGTAAGGCCAATGACTGCGGTGTCATCTGCATGCTTCTTGATGGAAGGTTTTTTAGAGGTTCAGTCATTTTTGTATAGGGAGAAATGTAGTGGAGAGAGCACACCGCCCTGTGGAGCACTGGTGCAGATGGTGCAAGTGGTAGATATGAATTTGCCCAACATCACCAGTTACTGTCTGTCTGTCAGTAAGTGGGTAATCCATTGACAGATGGAGGTGGGCACAGAGAGCTGAGTAAGTTTGATCAGGAGGATCTCTGGAGTGATGGTGTTGAAGGCCAAACTGAAGTCCACAAACAGGATCCTTGCATAAAGTCCTAGGTTTTTTCAGAATGCATTCCCATTATTAACTGCATTATCCATGGACCTCTTTGCCTGATAAGCAAACTGTAGGGGATCCAGCAAGGCCCCTTAACGTCTTTCAGGTGAGCCAACACCAATTTCTCAAATGACTTCATGACCACAGACTTCAAAGTGACAGTTCTGTAGTCATTTATTCCTGCTATTTTTGGTTTCTTCGGTACAGGGATGATCATGCAAGTTTGATCATTGGTAATCATCTTGCATTACTACTGTAGAGATTTTTTTTAGTTTGAGGGGTGGAGGAGGGCATTTTTTAGACATTTTTCAAAAATATATTTATTTCACCTAAATGTTTGGTCATGCACTGCATTTTTATTTTGACAATCGTGCAATTGTTGCACAACAGCTTACACACAGCACAAGCCTGATTTCATGAGCTGTATGTGAGGCGGCCTTACGCAGGTTCACACATACTCCGTTTGCAGTGCGTATGCAGTCCATGTGTGGTAAGTAAGTGGTGCAGAAGCAGCACTGAATGTGCTTTCACACAGGAAGTCTGCAACTGATCCGCGGCTGTTTACTACAAACACAACATTTATCCATTATTTAGATTTCAAATCCAAACGTTGTTACTTTAAATGCTTTTTCAGCATTGTGATTCTTTTTTTCTTTTTTTACACAGTACAGTAATACAATCTTTCACAGACGTGTTTAAACGTCTGGTCACCCTAATAATTCATAAATAACTTCCTACCTGAATTAAACCTATGGCACTCCCTCACATAAGGGGAATTCTACCACAAAACATGTTTTACAAATGTTAAATACATATATTTTTTCTGTGAAGCAGTGAACAGGATTATTTTCATTTGTAGCAAAAACTCGTCTACCACATGCAGTTCTCAAAAGTCTTGTGAACAAATGTTCTGTATGTGTTTTATGGCCTTATTTGCAACGATTTGTATCGTGAAAAGCGCTATACAAATAAACTTGAATTAAACTTGAATTTCAGTGATTTAAAAAATTTAGTTTTTAACTAACCACGCATAAACATTGTTTTCTCAAAAACACAAACATGTACTTTAATGCTGCTCACATATTATTGTAGCCCAGTTTGTGCTGAATACAGTGTTATCAGACTTAAGCCATTAATATGCTTTTAAGATAATGAAAAAAAACACTCTTCTCCAGGGCCCCAAAACACCCTCAGACCCCAGAGGGTTAATTAACAATTTAAGAATTAATGAACGATTGATGGACAATTTGCTGCAGTGTTGAGCACAAACGCACAGATGAGTTATAAACTTAACCCTCAGGAGTTGACCCCGAGGCATTTTTGGGCCTTGGTTGTGTTTTTATTTTCCCTGACATTTGTGCTTATTTCATTTACTTATTTGAATATTTAAAGTCTGATACGCTGTATTCAGCACTAATGTGCTCCAGATTACAACCCCTACCTGATAAACACATTATCACTGTTTGTTTTGTTCTCTACACAGACTGTTTGTATGTAATCTCACTGCTCAGTCTTGTGAGAGTTTGTCATTAGTTTTACAATCCTCAAACTCTGTCCTGAGAGAGCTGGACCTGAGTAACAATGACCTGCAGGATTCAGGAGTGAAGCTGCTCTCTGATGGACTGAAGATAAACTGCAAGCTGGAGATACTGAGGTTTGAGTTTCAAGTACTTTATTGTTTCTTTTATTAAGTTAATTGCTAATCATATTGCTAAGATTTATGCTGTATGTAGTCAATTTGTTTTTCTTATTCAGAGTTTCCATGTGTAATCTCACTTCTCAGTCTTGTGAGAGTTTGTCATCAGTTTTACAATCCTCAAACTCTGTCCTTTCTTGATCTTTTTTTTCTGGAAGATCCGGCACACATCCTCCTCACAGATCTTAAGCGCAGGTCAAGGTGTGGTGGGGGAGAGGTGGGGAAGGTTGTGTGGGGAGAAGGTCAGAGCAGGTGTAGCTGGTGATGGCTTTCAGGTGTTTCCACACTGATGCAGGCTTTTCAGAGTTGCTCCATTTTGTTATTCTCATTTCCTTGGTCAGTGTGCTTTTGGCCTGATTCTACAAGACTTTATCCCCACTCCTGTAGGCATCCTCTGTGGCCTGACAAAGCTCTTTGGGTTTTGCAGTGAACCATGTTTTATCATTGTTATATGTTAAGTAAGTTCTGGTAGGAACATACTTTAGCTTTATTTTCATTTCATCAATCAAATCCTCTGAACGCCGTGATCAGAGGATCATATTACTTCTGGTTCTTGCCTCATTTCAGTAGGAGAGATTCAGTGTGTTGATAACTTAAAAACTGCTGTGACCGGATCATTGAGTCAGTGAGTTTGACTGGATCAGTTCGATTTACATTTAATCATTTAGCAGGCTCTGGAGGGTGCTTACGAGGAACAATTGTCACGGGTTATGCTACTGTGAAGAGCACGGAGCGAGGAAAGGAGATGCAGATTCAAATGCAAACTTAAAGTCATTAATAATGTCCAAGGAAACAGGAAAACACACGTAGCAAGGGGTGAACATGAACAATTCCAGACAAAGGAGAACAAAACGGGCTCGAACTAAAATAGGGCAGATAACGAGGGGCAGACAGGTGATGAGGATAACTAATAACAAGGAACAGGTGATCACTAATAATGGGAAAAGGAACTGGAAGGACCAAATAAAGACAAACAGGAAATAAACAGAAACATACACGTGACAACAATATGTAAAAAAAATTTATTAAAATATCCAAAAACTACTAGAACAGTGTTATATATTTTGCTGACTTGTGAACTTACATTATCCCAAATGTTTCGAAGAATGTTTAAATCCAGAGAAATAAGCAATTTTAACGGAGCGTGTCTATAGTGTCATTGTGTCACCTGCTAATGACGTCATAACCCCTCGATTTCCGGTTTTGTTTTGTAGAAAACATGGAAACACCAAAGACGCTTTAATATGTTGTGTGTTTTAATAAGACAATTAGGACCGCACAGAGTAGCATTATAACAGAACTAAATGTATCTTGTATGATAAAACAGCGCTGACAGCGCTGCCATACGCACGACCGGAAGCAGCGGAAGCGCTCGACTGTGGCATAATAAAAGCTCCGCTGCTTTACCCCACATACGCACGACCGGAAGCAGCGGAAGCGCTCGACTGTGGCATAATAAAAGCTCCGCTGCTTTACCCCACATACGCACGACCGGAAGCAGCGGAAGCGCTCGACTGTGGCATAATAAAAGCTCCGCTGCTTTACCCCACATACGCACGACCGGAAGCAGCGGAAGCGCTCGACTGTGGCATAATAAAAGCTCTGCTGCTTTACCCCACATAC